AAAAAAAAAAGTGTATAACCTCTGGGAATCTTGTCACGATGTGTAGATGTGGCTTTAGTTTTGGGTAAAGGATCCACATAATCCAGTATTACTTTGTCTAATAGTCTGATCAATTATGTGAAACACTAGTCACACTCAACTGTGCATTAGATTTGTTGCTCATGGGCATGATCATAGAACTAATATACACACACGATTTGAGAGGGTCATGATCTCCAGTTTAAGATGATCAAATAGCAAAGTTTGGAGACTAAAGTATATAGTTAGGGCTGGATCAGGTGACCCTGAACCTGTCATGTTGCTATAGGTTCAGACTGCTGCAGAACATAATGTGATTCACTGAGGATGCCCCATGTTTATACACCACAACAGGAGGTCATTACATTTTTGTCTTGAGACTTCTTGTTAAAAGGATGTTCTTCCTTCCCGTTGTTACCTAGTACCTGCCTATAGGTCATTTAATTGCAGTTTTCTCTGGACTACTGAAAGGGATGTACCTCACAGTATAAAGCACCTTGAGGAAAACTTTTGTTTGCCACGACATAAATACATCTGAACTGAATAAACACAGAGGTGAGACCACTTTTTATTCATCTCAAATCACACAAATGCTATTTTAAAAAAAAAAAAAAAAAAAAAAAAAAAAAAGAAGAAAGAAGACACCCCACAGTGGATTCAGTTCACTCATCCTTCATTTTGTAGTGTCAACATTAAGACTATGAATCACAGCACTTTAATCTGAGAAAGGCAAATTTAACAGCATCTCCCCTCTTCATATAATCCAAGAGCACTTTTGAGGATGATGGCAAAATACCATCTGCAGCAAACCTGTCAGGCATCACGTTCATCCAAGCAGCAGAGAAAAAAGGGACCCCCCCCCCCAAAACCAACCCACCTGTACTGCACCATGTCTTTAGAATTATTTTAAAAGACACTATTAAAGAAACTGCTCAAGAGTATTGCTCCATTTCATGCTCTCCAGCAGGATCTTATAATCAAAGTGAACAGTGGAAAGACTTGAGGGCCCAAGAAGGGGTCTCTAGACTCAGATGTGTTGTTCTGTAGGCCTCTCCTGGTAAGGTCAGTCCTGCTTGGAACGCTCTGGGTCGTACTTAATTAGCAGGTGGAGGGAGGCGAAGCCGAACAGAAAGGTCTGGATAAACCACAGGCACCGAGTGGACATGTCCTTGATGCCTTTGTTACTGCAGGAAAAAGTAAATAGTGTGTTTAGGAAGTAGATTCATCATATGCGCAATGGTTGTTGAACCCTTAAACAGAAAATTATGCACAATTTGAATGCAGCTGGCCATTTTGTTTTTTTAATTCAAAAATGTACATGTTGACATGAAATTGGGCTAAAAAATTAGATTGCAGCACCACCTACTGGATGTTAAGGTTCCTGCATTCTTACCTGCACAACTTCAGTGCAACCAGGGCCTCACAAAGATGAATAGCACAGGTCAACCACCACCTGAAACAGGAAAAAAGGAAGCTCAACTCTCCAGTGATAACATTTAAAACTAGGATAATGCACATGCTTCCAAAAAGGGGAAAAGACCCACAAGTTAACAGTGAGGACTTTTCTGGTCTGGAAACAAGTTTTCCCCTCATGCTGTTCCAATCACCGAGTGCTGATAAGCTTAAATTGATCAGTCGTTTCAGATTTCAAACCAACAGTGTCTCGATGATGGCTTCCAGCTGCCTTTCCTTTGAACAGACCGA